AATTATCTACAGGATACACCTTAGATGAGTTCCTGGACCTACTACAATGAAAAAATGCAGTTTCGACATGAATCCATTTCTTGATATTATCAGATTTGTAATGTACAAATAAACAAATAAGAGAAGAATATTCTACGCTAAGAATGGTGTCTGAAAAACTCCCTTGGGGAAGATGACCACTAGGATGACCTCAGCTAAGATGGCAGGACCAGGTGCGAAGAGACAAATGGAAGCTAAGAGCGGAGTGACAATGCTGCCAAAGGCAATCTTCAGTAAACAACCCCCAACCACTGCCCACAGACTAGAAGAAGGGGAAACCATTGAAGAATTTTTCAATAACTTTTTCAAGAATGTCAACAAAAATACAGAAGACAACAAAGTTCCTACAAGCCCCCTGTCCCATACACTACAGGAAACTTCAAAAACCAAATTAAATTAAAAAAAATTGACAACAAGGGAAAAATACAACATTCTACCTCTACCTTTTCCGGCAGTTGTTATTTTTTAGAACAGACCCAGCACACAAAGCAGCGCTACAAACCCAGAATATTTCAACGCATAGTAACAAATTAAGCCAAAAACCAAATAAAGTAATAAAAACTCCACACCAGATAAAACAACTCACAATACTTCACCAAAACATGGACAGACTCTCAAATAAAATTGAAAGATTAACACACCTGCTGGAGGACCTTAAACCTGACCTCCTTGTAGTGACTGAGCATGGCCTAAAGCAGGCAGAAATTCAGAATACCCATATTCCAGGATACACACTCACTGCAGAATATAGCAGAGCCAACTATCAAAAAGGTGGTGTAGTTGTTTATAATACTGACAATGCTAATTACACCATTGTACCTACAGATATAACAAACCTCAGCATCAAACTACAGTGTGAGCTAATATCTGTGAAAATAAAACAGGGCCGGTAAAACTTAAAGGTTGTTGGCATCTACAGAACCCAAGGAAACCTATACTCATCCTTGGATATCATCTCAGAAACCCTAGAAAAAACACAAACATGGAAAAATCAAGTTATTCTCATAGTTGATATCAATATAGATTGCTTGGAGCCAAACCTTGAAATGACAAAACTTAACGAAGTTCTTCTTAGCCACAATATGATACGGCTCCTCCTGCCTCCTACAAGAATAACACCTACTACAATAAGCTCAATTGACTGTGTCTGCACAAACCTAGGCAATGATGATATTCAGGTTGACGTTCTCAATGCCAGACTCTCAGACCACACAGCACAGCTCTGCAAAATAAATACCTCTGCCCCAGAAGCTCAGAATCAAACCTTCTATTCTAGGAAATTCAACCAAAGGAATGTCATGAACTTAAAAACTATTCTTGCCCAAGAAACCTGGGAAAGTGTCTTCAATGAACATCAACCAGAGGACGCCTATCGTAACTTCAGCAAGATTATTGCAGGAGCTATTAACCAAACCTGCCCAATGGTAAAGTCAAAGAAAAAAACCAGAAATCGTCCTATAGCAAACCATGGTGGGTACTAAAGCAAGAATTTTTACAGGTTCTGAACAAATACCTACTGAGTGGAACAGAAGAGGACAAAATTACAATGTCAAACAAGAAAAAAGATTATGACCTGAAACTGAAGACAGTAAAACGACAGGCCACAGCAGTCCAAATTCATCAAGCTGATGATAAAACCAAAGCACTCTGGAGGGTCATCAACAGAGAAAGAAAGCCGACTCGAGACACATCAGAACAATCAATCACAGTAGAAATAAATGGCTTCAAAAACCAAAATCAGCCAGCTGAAATCACAGAGGTACACTGTCAGACACCTGAGATGTCTCTTCAGTTAACAAACGAGCAGGAACTGACTCAAGTGATCAACACCCTAAAAAATAAAACATCTGCTGGAGTAGATGATATATCCGCCAGTCTACTAAAAAAAATGTAAAGAAGAACTTGCTGGACCGTTAACATACATCATCAACCGTTCTTTCCAAGAAGGAATCTTCCCAAGTGGGCTTAAAATTGCAGAGTTATTCCCAAAATTCAAGAAAGGAAACCATCTGGACTCAAAGAACTACCGCCCAATTTCATTAATTTCCACATTCTCCAAAGTATTTGAAAAAAAATAGTACTAAACAGACTTCAACACCTATCATCCAATGAACTGCTCACACCACATCAACATGGATTTGTACAGGGAAAATCAACCACATCTGCCATAATAGCGCTAACTGAATATGTAATAGATAATCTAGAAGAAGGAAACATACCAACCACAATTTTACTTGATTTCAGCAAAGCATTTGACTGCTTAGATCATACGCAACTGTGTAATAAGTTGAGAAAAATTGGAATTGGTGGGAAAACTGCATAATGGTTCAAGAGCTATTTAACTGGAAGAAGTCAAGAGGATATACAGGTAACATGCAAAAGACGAGACACAAGATGCATTTGGAATGCAATCAAAGGAATGCCTTAGACCAGTTCAAATGCCCATCAACCATCCCGGGACAGAGCAACTCCTCCCAGCCCATGCAGAGGTTTGGACCCCCAGCCATGAGTCACCAACATTGGGCCCATATGGCTTCAGAGGATATGAATTAAACTTAGTCAGCTTACACATCTGATGGGACTGTTTACAACAACTATCCTAAGTACTACCGATTACCATCCCTTCACCTGATGTGATGAGTGTCACCCCTCAACAGACGGGCATGTCCCGAATCAGCAGATGTTTATCCCTCGTCCAGTGCCGCAACCTTCCCTGAAATTCTAATATAAAGGTAAACTAAGCATTCGGAGTTGTTGGACCAAAGTAAGCCTAATTAAAAAAGTAAAAACTGGACTGATGAAATTGACAGGGAAAAAGAAAAAGGCTGAAGAAGCCAAGTCAGATGTGGTTGAAGAGTGGAATGAAGATGCCCTGACAACTCCGGATCAGCCTCAAACATGGAGGAATGAGGAACCTTCAGCAATGAACACTGACCACTGAAACAAACAAAGATATAATAAACAAAGGCCAAACAACAACAGAGGCAGATTACACCGCAACCCCCAACAGCCTCTGGGATACGGTCGTGGTCAACGACAACAATCTGACCAAGAAACCCACAATAACTACAGATATCCATACAACTATAGAAATGATGGTTTTTAGACATCCTAATGATAATTATAGACAGCAGTCTCATGATTACAGGGCTATGCCTAATAATAATTACATGCCTCGGTACAATGAGAGAATGAATAACATGACCCAAAAATATTAAAACATTCAAAACCGTGGTCTCTGGCTTGAAGAAAATAAAGACAACAAGGGTCCTTCATTTGAAGAAAACAGAGACAACAAGGGGCCCCGATTTGATGAAAATAAAAGCAATAGGTGAGATAACCACAGCAACAGGTTTACAACAACTATCCTCACCTTACCGTCCCTTCACCTGATGTGATGAAATCATGTATGAAAATAAAAATTATAGTTAAAAAAATCATAGTTGATATTTAATCATAGTAAGTGACACCTTGAAATCCCGGTGTGAAGCTACAGAGGAACTCAAGACAACAGAGACACAGGAAAATGTAAATATATTGCTGCAACCACCAACAGAGGAAATAGTAAAGTACCTGGAATAGATAGTACCTGAGAGTGACGAAGGCTTAAAATCCTCTCCAAAGAAGCTGTCCCCCAATGCAGCTGAATTTTCAAAAACACCTGTAAAGGTATAAACAGCATCCTCGACAGCCAAATTTAAGAATTTGACTGTGTCTTTTTCAGTTTTGGTCACAATAAGGATGTACACATAGTCATAATTAGGATATTTGTTCCTTAAACACACATTTTCAACAGTTTTCTCAGCATTTCTGAATTATATTTAAAAATGATGTTTTGCGTTGAGGCTTTTAGCCTTCATTCATGAAAATGTTAACAATTCTGAGAACTAGGAAAGCAGTTTCTTTATCTATGTCATCAAGATTCATTGACTATCTGTACTTGACACGCAAAAAGGGATTACCATCTTTGTTGCCCTCTCCTTCTGGAACTCTCCCCACGTTGAAGTCGTAGATCTGAATTTCAATGTCAGTACTGTAAAACACCTGGTAGACCAGTCCAACCTGTCCAGCCCACAGCGTGTTTTTGACATTGCTAACTTCTTCACTTTAAATTGGAGACACAAGGTCTTCATATCGTGGTTTACCAAATCTGAATTCCTTGGTTACCAGATAAAAGATAAACAGGGCCATTCACTTCAAGATGAGCACAGCGTCCAACAACCTTTAGATATGATCTTTATATGTTTGGGCCGTTGTTATGCCTCGGAGGATAAGTTTCAGAACAGTTGTCTTGTTCATGACAATCAGTTTTATTCCCTAAACCTGTTACTGTGGTTATCCCACCTATTGCTTCTATTTTCTTCAAATCAAGGACCCTTGTTGTCTTTATTTTCTTCAAATGAAGGACCCTTGTTGTCTTTATTTTCTTCAAGCCAGAGACCACGGTTTTGAATGTTTTAATATTTTTGGGTCATGTTATTCATTCTCTCATTGACCGAGGCATGTAATTATTATTAGGCATAGCCCTGTAATCATGAGACTGCTGTCTATAATTATCATTAGGATGTCTAAAAACCTTCATTTCTATAGTTGTATGGATATCTGTAGTTATTGTGGGTTTCTTGGTCAGATTGTTGTCGTTGACCACGACCGTATCCCAGAGGCTGTTGGGGGTTGCGGTGTAATCTGCCTCTGTTGTTGTTTGACCTTTGTTTATTATATCTTTGTTTGTTTCAGTGGTCAGTGTTCATTGCTGAAGGTTCCTCATTCCTCCATGTTTGAGGCTGATCCGGAGTTGTCAGGGCCTCTTCATTCCACTCTTCAACCACATCTGACTTGGCTTCTTCAGCCTTTTTCTTTTTCCCTGTCCATTTCATCACTCCAGTTTTTACTTTTTTGATTAGGCTTATTCTGGTCCAACAACTCCGAATGCTTAGTTTACCGTTATATTGGAATTTCAGGGAAGGTTGCGGCACTGGACGAGGGATAAACATCTGCTGATTCGGGATATGCCCGTCTGTTGAGGGGTGACACTCATCACATCAGGTGAAGGGACGGTAATCGGTATGTACTTAGGATAGTTGTTGTAAACAGTCCCATCAGGTGTGTAAGCTGGCTGGGTTTAATTCATATCCTAATTTCCTGGGCGATTAAAGCTAGGGCAGAGCTGAGAAATTTAAATTATAAACCCTGGACCAAACACAATTTTATTTGATCATTATGTAATCTTGAAGAGTACAAAACTACATTTCATTTCATTGCCGTCTGTCCAATTTTGGGTAATATTAGAAGGTCTTGGTTAGGAAGCAATATTTTGAGTGAAGTAGAATATTATCAGTATCTTAACGGGAAGGATTGGCGTGTCTTTACCAAATACCTTAGAGAAGCTTGGAAGTATAGATGGGAACTTATAAGTGAGTTTAACTTCTAAATTTTAGGTAAATAAAACAAAAAACCTTGAAACTCGGTTACTTATATCTGATATCCTTAATAATTCTGTATCATGTTTTGTTATCTATTGAGTACTATAATTGTGTTTTATTACTATTATATTTATTGTATAAAAAATGTTAATTTCTTTTTGTGCTAAATGTTTTTAAAGACTCGTATTCATTTTAGAAGGCAAAGATTGTGTCAACCAAACAGACGGTTGTTATCAATCATCGTTTCAAAGTGTTATATTTTTTGGATGTACATATTACCTTATCGTTTAATAAAGCACTTTTTCATTTCATTTCATTAATTCATATCCTCTGAAGCCATATGGGCCCAATTTTGGGGACTCATAGCTGGGGGTGAGTTGCGCTGGCCTGGGATGGTTGATGGGCGTTTGAACCAGTCTTGATATTGCATATTAATGTGCCTTATTGTGCTGACGACCAATTTCAGATGCTTACTAAAGAGAACCAGTGTCTAAAATTAAAAACCACTCATTTAATCGGATAAATTGACACCTTGAAATCCCGGCTTGAAGCTACAGTGGAACTGACAGACACTCAGATCAACAGAGACTCAGGAAAATGTAAATATATTGCTGCAACCACCAACAGAGGAAAAAGAAAATACACCTGAAGTATCAGTAGGCTACCTGAGAGTGACGAAGGCTTCAAATCTTCTCCAAAGAAGCTGTCCCCCAACGCAGTAGAATTTAACCCTGCTTCTACTGCAATGGCAGCAAATGAGGTCCCCGCGGTCTCGCCGTAGGGGGTTTTTTGTGGAAGATACTGAAACTCCAGCCAAAGTGACTAAGGTTGAAACTTACACTCAGGTGGAAGAGGATATTTTTGAGGAGACATCAAGTGTACCCGAAACCGAGACTAAGCATTCAAAATTGTTGGACAAAAATAAGCCCAATCAAAAAAGTGAAAACTGGAGTGACGAAATGGACCAGGAAAAAGAAGCAACGCAGGCTGAAAAAGCTAAGCCAGATGGAGTGGAAGAGTGGAATAAAGAGGCCCTGACAACTCTGGACCAGAGAGGGTGAGGATCCATCAGCAAGCAACACTGCCCACTAGAAGCAGGAAAGACCCAACAATAACAGAGGCGGATTACACCGGAACCCCCAACAGCCTCTGGAGTACGGTCGTGGACAACGACACCAATCTGACCAAGAATCCCACAACAACTACAGATATCCATACAAATACAGAAATGATGGTTTTTAGACATCCTAATGATAATTATAGACAGCAGTCTCATGATTACAGGGCTATGCCTAATAATAATTACAGGTCTCAGTACAATGAAAGACTGAAAAACACACCCCAAAATTATCAAAACATTCAAAACCGTGTTCCCCAGTTTGAAGAAAATAGAGACAACAGGTGCCCTCGATTTGAAAAAAAATAAGTCACCCCCTACCCTGTTAGGGGGGTAAAAAAATATTTTTGATGTAAAAAATTACGGAACTTTTGCTAACAATCAACGCCACAAACAGAATACAGTAGAACTCCGACTATCCGAATCAATTGGGACCAGACCCCATTCGGATAATCCAAAATTCGGATAATCAGAGTTTTACAGGAATTCTGGGAATTTCCAAGAAAATCCTCATTTTCGGTACTAAATGAACTTTTAATTAATAATAAATTAAATCTGAACATTTTTACAGTTTAGAATGCTCATAGCACAAGTGTTCTATACATGTTCTTAAGTTAATAGTGTTCCATCAAAGTCCAAAATTACACACTGGCTAAATTTGTTTAATAACAATTCTTTGATATTTTGCGAAACTTATTATTACTGTAGCTTTACGTTATTAAAATTGTTAAAATAAGCGATTCGGTTAATTAGAGTTCGGATAATTGGAGTTCTACTGTATTTCTACCTATTTCGGTTTAAAAAATACAGATTTGTTTCAATAATTAATTTACACACCGTATAATAGGGAGTTACTACATGTTTGCGTTCTAATGCGAGACTAACATGAACAAACTTCCACTTACAATTAATTATCTAGGCTTGTATAATTTAACAATACCCCCAATGCAGCAATTATGCAGACTTATTTTAACTTGTCTGGTTGGTTTTTTTACTAATATTTTCCAGAAAAATTGATATTTTTATTCCCTATTTAAATAACATTAGATCTAACGAGTAGTTACCTAGGTTGGCTGCTACAGGGAAAGGTAAACAGTTTTTAAAAGATTAAATCAATAAATTAGCCAATTTTGATCAACATACATCCTTAAACAAGCAAACTACTAGTATTTATTTTTCGCCATATGAATAACATAAAAGTCTTAAATGTGCAGTTTTTGAATATTTTATCCGTAACGTTTAATTTTACAACACTTCAATATAGGGCCTACAAAATTATTTGTTTTTTTATTGTTACATGATGGCTGGTGTAAAAGTCTTTGAACATTTAAAAACCCCATATTACCCCATCCCCATGACCCGATCTTGCTGGTTCGCGAACTCATTCAATGAAAAATTTAATTGGTCTCGGATCAGGGTATTCCATAAGACTACCATCAGCTTCTTTACTATAGGAAATTCGCAAAAATAGCTGTGAGCTATGCCACATGTGGTTCTTGCAGTAGATTGTTTACTTTGATCAGTGGCCGAGCGGTCTAAGTCGCTGTCTCCATGCCCAGTGTTCAAACCCCATCTCCGTCAGGTCAGGTCTTGCGTGACACCACAGCCACCTCTAATACAAGGCCGCGACGTTCGAACTGGCAACGCCGCAATCACACCCCCTCTGCGTCCGTCTTCACACGCGCTAGGCTATGAACATCAATGAGAGTATTGCTGCTCTGTATCAATGAATGAAAGTATTTAAATACGTAATAACATATTTTAGTAGATTTTAAGGTATGGTAAAATATACAAAATTGTAATCTAGGTTGTTTATTTAGTGAAAAATTTCAACATACCGCAATACGTCTAAAACTAAAAATATACAAACATAATGTTTTTGGTTGCATTTATCGTATGAATGTGGAAATAGATGAACTTTAAATATTTCCTTTGTTAATTTGATAATCTACACTATTATATAACAATCTCATGGTGTCTGTATATATGTGTGTTATTCAACATAGTAAAAACTACTAGACAGACTGTGCTTAAATTTTACAAAATAAAGCTACTATACCAAGAATGGTTATACAGTAGGACCAACTTATTGCCACTTCAATATTTGTAGAGACTTTGGGATTTGTAGAGACTAACATCTAACAATTTGTTCAGATAAAATTAATTTTAAATTTTTAATAGGAATATTATGTTTTAGTCTACCTGAGGAAAACATAAGTTAGCGACAACAAAATTTGAAGTTTTCATTTTGAAGGCATACTGACTAAATAATTTATTTTCTTTGAATAATTACTAAGAAAAACGTTTGCCATTTTGTAAACGATTTCAGAAGCTAGGCCTCCATATGGCTTTCCACAATATTAATAGAATTTTTTATCACATCAACATTCAGACTGGATACGGAGACTATGATGCTTTTATTGTTAGGTGCAGTAGGTTACATATTTTTTTACTAGTAGGCCTACTTAACAGAAACACCGGCTTATTTCTTTGAAGTTGCATTTATTTAAGTTATTTCAATCACTTAACAACAGCATTTATCAATAAGATAGACAAATAAATAAGGAAATAGTACGGTATTACTACCTAAAACTTGCTTCTCGCGTCTATATTTATACGCGTCATTGTCTTATTCTTACATTTTTTACAAATTTAATCTAAGCTCATGTTCGTGAAAAATGTTTCACACAAAAACGAGAATATTTTTAAGATGTCTAATTTGATCGAAGAATAGCAGAAAGCAATTGTTGCTTACGCGGTGGATCAAGTAGAATCTTAGAACACTGTATGTATTATTCATTTTTTAATTGAGCTATCGTAATAATTCTTGCATCCAGGAACATCACATCTATCTGGCATGCTGTAGTAAGAAGTTTAATGTCATTACTAATGATTAAAGGTAGTAGAAACGCGATTATGTACGTAGAGTACGCGACTCCTCCATTCACTGTAATGGTAAAACGACCGAACGCCAAGACACTGATGCGACGTTGCCGCTTTTCACTCGCCGCGGCCTTGTATTAGAGGTGGCTGTGGTGACACTCATGAAGAAGGTTAAAGTTGGCTGAGCTTGGTGGGAGTTAAGAGATGTGTCTGATCATACAATAGGTTTATTAAATCAGGTGTTCTGTAATTTTTTTCTTACCTATGTGTGTGTGCTTGTGTCCACTTAAAACTGGTTTGAATAATTTGGATTTTTATGTTTATGAAAACAGCCCCTAACAAAATCAACCAGAGAAAATGAAAGGGGGAAGTAAGCCTAGTAATTCTTAGAGATAATTTTCTTACGGTCCCCAGAAACTGGCAGTTATACTAGCAGAATCATTGCTTTCCCTTTTTTACATGCCCTGGGCCAGCTTTTTAAACCCAAGTCCTTACAATACTCTTTGTCTTTTCAGAGCAAATCTTTATTCATTATTTTAAGCACATATTTTATTCTGTGATGTTGTTGTCTGAAAATAAGTAAATTTAACTCATATTGATTATCATATTATTTTTTAAAGTTTTTACTCATATTTATTTATTTACGGAAACATATATGTATTTGTTCTAACCTCATCCTTTTTTTCAGCACGTTCAATATGTCTGACCGCAAAGCTGTTATTAAGAATGCTGACATGTCAGAAGAAATGCAGCAGGACTCTGTTGACTGCGCAACTCAAGCTTTGGAAAAATACAACATTGAAAAGGTAAATTCTGTTAAGCTTGAATCATATCCTAATGCGTTGAATGTACCCAGTACAAATCTTTTCCTCATAATTTATCATACAAAATTCAATTCTCTTTGCATTTTATTATTTTGCATAAAGTCTTTTCAGTCATCTGTTACCTTAGTTAGCCGACTACACAGGTCCCTGGCATTTTTCTCACACGTTTAAAAATAACTGGTAATAGTATATATTAAGCTTATAGGCCTATAATATTGTGGTATAATTGTAGGCCTTCTATAGAAATGGGCTACCATTTAATTGGAGAGGGAAAACAGTAAAATCTCAAATCATAATTGATAAATAGGCCTCTAACAAAATGTTAAAGCCATTTTAAGAAGTGATTGTTTGCACTCTCCCCAATAAGTAAAAGTCGTCTCTCCGTCATGGTAAGATAGAAGGTTGAGTTCAGCTAGGTAATCTACAGTATCTTGATGGAAGAAAACTTGCCCTAACCAAACTTTCTCAAACAAAACTTGACCCAACCAGACTTTCTTAAACTAAATATAGTTTAAAAAATCAAAACAAGCTCACTTATGCTAATCTTGAAAATTATGATGTTTTGTAAAAAAGAGACTAATTGTGATTGTGAATAGCCTACAATAAACAAATCTTATATGCTAATTCACTACCACTATGTTTTTTTAAGTTTGAAATGTCATAATTATCTTCAATCCTGTTTAGGATATGTTACCTATTCTATGTTATGTAACCAAGACATAACTTGAACACTTGTATTTGTATTGTAACATACAAACTATATATAGTGGTAGAGAATAAATTAAGGAGGTCCTAATAAACTTACCTGTTAACTTGTGTACAATCTGCTCAGTAGGGATGCTTAAATTGAGGGTTTTCCGTTGACTGAAAAATCACATATATTAAGGAATAGCCTACTTAATTAAGTTAGGCCTACAATGCTTAAGGTCTACACAGAATATACAAATTCCCTAGAAAATCCTTATCCTAATTCTTTGCGCCAAAACTCATCAATGATGGGCCTACAGAATTTTTTTAGGTGTTAACAGGTTGCTCGTCAATAATGTCAAAACAAAATACATTTAATCATAACTAACCAAAAAGTGAAAATTTTCTTATAAATATCTGTAGCCTACATGTGAGTCGATCGCAGATTATCTAGTAGGAATTCAAGTACACTGTAATATGCTTTGTTAATAAGCAAACTTATTACTGATTTATTTAAACCGTGCATTTTTAACGGTTTAAACTGATGCTTGTAAAACTTGGTCCTCATATTTGGGGGACATTCAAAATAAAGTCTAAGAATGATTTGGGTACTGGTATTGGAATTTATATTTTAATCTGGTATTGTAATGATGTTTACAATACTGTGTGCTTTTTATTTCTAAGGTCATGTGTAAAAATAAAACAAGTATAAATAAAAATAGAGAATCCTTAATGTCTCCAATCCAAAAAAAGAAAAGAAAATCGTTTATGCCTATTTAAAATCAACATGGTTCTAATGTATCTCTTTTGACTGGATTATTTAATTACCAGGATAGTCTCCGAAATTTTTTTTTACTAAATATTTTTTAAATATTAATGAACAATAATTAATATTATTATTAATGATATTAATTATTGGCCTTACATCAAAGTTTACATTGTCAATTGGTCAAAGCTTTATGGTTATGGATCTTTGTATTTTATTCAGTGAACATACTTTTGTTCAAATCTTAAATATTTACAGCTAAGTGGTAATTATTTTAATTTTTTCTAGGACATAGCGGCATACATAAAGAAGGAGTTTGACAAGAAATACAACCCAACATGGCATTGTATCGTCGGCCGCAACTTCGGCAGCTACGTCACACACGAGACAAGACACTTCATATATTTTTACCTAGGTCAAGTTGCCATTCTGCTCTTCAAGAGCGGTTAAACGCCTCAACGGAAACCCTCGTCACATTGTTAAGTGTAACATGTCGCAAAGTGTTTAATGTTATCTTCCTCTGTCATCTGCTATCGATTGGAACGTATTTTTAATTTAATTTTTTAACTTTTTTGTAACAGAATCCACGCCGCAAATGAGGAGCGTTTCATTAATATTTCTAAAAGAGATGTGCAACATCTTTGATACAGAATGATGCGATGGATTTTTAATGTGATCGAGGGTTTATCTTTTTTCAAATCGCCCTCCGGGTAGCATACAAGGCTGTTACATAAGTTTATTTGTTTTGTGTTTAGAATCGATGAAGATATCTAATTGATAACTATTATACTGTTACTATGAAATATGCCCAAATTTGTATTGCTAACACAAACACTCGAGCTCTTGGTAATTAGATTTTAGATAGTACTCATTCGACACGTTATAAATTAGTGCTTACGATTTGAAATGTTTTTAAGGGACCATCTAACTATTGTCAAAGCGGTTCTTCTGTTGTTGGGTGGATTATCAAAGTTCACTACATTGCTCATCGTACACTTTAGTCGGCCAAATCATATTCTCCTAGTGATTCCGATGTTTGTTGTTCGTTTCTATTGTAATCACAATACCTGTAGCTTTTAAGGAGTTTGCCTCTATTTTTGTATAGGTCTTAAGTTGTTTCAATCGTTCTACTGTGTAACAAATAAAATGGTATGTGAGAACTTGTGTTTTTTTTTAGGTATTTTATTGTTAAAGGCATTTTCAGTACAACATAAACATAATTTGACAAACCCAGAGTATAAAGTTTCACTGAACCCCTTTTAAAATGCCCTGAGGTGAGGGCTTTCCGCTTATTATTACAGTGGACATAATTTGTACATAATTTTAAATCTCTCGAAGTAGTTTATTTATTTTTGTTGTAATATAAGTTCTATTATCGGTGTTGAAGTAAGATGTTTATGATTTATCTCCTGTTTAACTCATAAGTTTAATCGCTTACTGATCTTAAGTTGCGTTCATGTGATTACTATGGATTTTTATTTCTACTTAGCAATATGAGTATAACCTACATACTTTGTAATTAAACCTTGTTTAGTTCTGGCTTTAGTTTCTGTGATTTAGGCATTTAGTAAATAAGCTGCAAATATTTCATGAGATCACAGCTTAAACTGCGAAGTAGTCAGTCATCAACTATACCTAGTGATATTTGCGTATAAGTATAATTAGATTCTGTTCTAAATCACTTAGTAATATTCATCTTAAAACTCACTCATTCATAGTATTGTTAAAGCTTTTGGACTAGAATAATTTATCTTTATTTTCCTGAAATGAATATCCGAAAAGACTTTCATTGAGTTAATTCTTACAGTTTAACCATAAATGTGTACATGTTTTCATTAAACTAATATTAATTATTTAATACGTAATGTCTATACTCACCAAAGTATTATCAGTAAAGTACTATTAACAAAATTCTGTATTACATGAGCTTTGAACAAAATCATTATTATTATTGATAAGCTAAATTTACAGTCTGCTCTGGAAAGAGACATCACCATGTGACAGGATTCTTTTGTGGAAAGGAATAGAGTTCAGGTAGCTTACTTGAGGCCAGAAGCCGATAGATACGCAAAAGAATATTAAACATACTGGGGAAACCAGTGCCAAGACTTGTTTCTAAAAACTTAAAATACTGTACCAATTCAACAAAAAGAAACCTGAACTTTTACTCTGCCTCAGTTGGTTGATGTATGATACCATTACACGAAATACAATATGGTGTTTAATATTATTCTTGTTAAATATAATAAGTGATCTTTACAAGTATAAGGTTTGTGTTTTCATATTCGTTATGTGTTGTTAAAAGCAAGGATTCTTTTTTTTTGTGACAGGTTTAGTTGCAGCAAACCTGACTCCAAGCATAGCAGTTAACTGCACAGAATTAGATTGTCAAACTAGTTAAAAATGCCTTTTCCCCAGTTAGTTCTTTGAAAGCAGCAAAGATATATCATTAAAACCATTTGCAAAAATTTGATTGAAATATTTTTTTGGGTTTGCTGCAACTTGGCTGTATGCCTTCTTACCACCGCTCCAGGATCAATAATGAGGATTTTAATCAATTCTCATTGTTGCGAAGTAGATTTAGAAAATTAACAATCAAAATGAAGTGTATATATTTAAGTCACTATGGTATCTGGTGTATAGTTTCACCTTATTTAAGGTGTTGTATTACATAACTCGATGTATTGCATAAATAACCAAGTTGGTGTATTTAGGAATTTGATTCTTTATTCTCGTAAAGTTACAATGTAAATTTGGGCCATATTGTATTTAATGTAAAACATATGTGAATGTTTTATTTTGTTGCTATTTAAAAATAATGATTTGTCTCAAATATCAGTCAGTTGTTATTATTTCTCCCTCTTGTGTACACTGAATTCTCCGAAATGTTATTAGCTGGAAAGAGAATTGGTTAAAAATTCAAATAAATTGTTCAAAAACTTCCTCCAGTAATTTACACTTAAAATCTGGTAATCAATCGATTAAATTAAACCTTGTTTCACACAGAGACAGAACAAAACATTGTGAGTTTTTTTCACATGGCTGATTAATTGTATGTCCAAATTGACTGTAGTTTTCAGTTTTTGTACAATCAATTATTGTAATATATGTAGGCCTATCATCAATAATATACAGATCACCTGTTAACCATGCAGTTTGTTAAAAAAAAGTTTAAGATTCCTCATTGTCAGCAAAGCATCTTGTAGCTATCATCACATATTCATCTGGTAACATTTTTTCATAGGTTTTGAAGTATTTTTTCAAGAAAATATTTTTTTATTTAACCATCACTGTTAGTACAAAGTAAATGGCAGAATTCGAGAATAAATGAGTTCAATACCAACTTGCCTATACAAATATTATAAGCAATATCATGGACTGCATACTGTTTTTTACAATCAAATTAGAGAGTATCACATCATAGCAAATTGTGTTTCTTCCACACAACAATTGAAGATACATATCACCGGTTTACACTATCATTTTATGTAGTGTTTTATTTTACTTCACTGCTTTACACAAGCGTTGGGGTGCAACAGAGTTTTGACTCTAGATTCAAAATTTGTAGTTAGGATTCAAAAAGTTGAGAAAATTGCAAGCAGTAATTGGTAAGTACTAAGTATTGACTCTCGCTCGTATCTTTAGCTAACAATTCATAGATTTTTTAGGACGGCCTACAGCAGTTATCTTGCTATTTGCTTCACCCTTGAATAGTGATGTGCGTATCGATACAGATATCAATACAAGGACCGCAAAATATCGATATTTTGTATCGATACGTGGGTGTGTATCGATATGCCCGTATCGATACACCTATAGCCAATATTGTATTGTTTATTTATTAATATAAATCTTATTTTTAAGGTAAGAAATTTGTCTTAACATCTTCCTCCCCTCAAAAGTAGTAGTGGAAATTTTATATTTTACCCTACCATCCTCAAAAACGCTGATAAAACATGTATTTTCAGCTATGTTTTGCAAATAACCTCAAAACTAGGGCCACCATTAATGGAAGTGCGACCCTCATTATCCATATTATACTATTTAATATGTAAGTGGCATACCCACCATCATTATAAGTACTTTTTGGTTCAATTAATTATCCCTGTGTAAAAACTAGGAAAACAATAACTTTACAAAATGTTTTCCAATTTTGAGGGTTTACCGGAATTCGGAGGTTATGTGTATGTGAGTTTGATACAAATAAAAAGACACAGGAAGGAAACGGCTTTTCTGAGGTAAGATTACAAGCACTAACCCTCTTTACAAGCTTGTAAGTAACATAGTATTTGTCTATGCAGCTTGTATATTTGAGATATATTTTAATTTTTTTTATTTTTCTAATAAGTAAACAATACGATACGATATTTTGTCCGATACAGGTAAAAATCGATACATGAGGATACGATACGATACACGTATTGATACACCACGTTCCGATACGTGTATCGATACATTGACCCGTATCGCCCATCACTACCCTTGATCGTTCAACCGATTTTAAAAATCTGTTTGTCCTCACCTTGCTTGAACTTCTTATTTACATTACTTAACATTATTTCTGAAACTAAATATCAAATGGTTACCATTTAGTGTTGATAAAAATGGAGCATTTTAAAAGTGTATTCTCTTCAAATGTGTTAATTTTAACACTACTGCAGACCAACTACAAGATGTACGACTGAGGCAACAGACCCAGAGTCTCTGGGATGGTTGGTTTGGTAGCTCATTAGTTTAACAAAACTGCAGATTTTGAAGTGACAATTAAAATATTTATTTGTGGATCTAGTGAGCAAGGTGGCTTTTTTTATACAAGATATGTCTTAACAAGACTTGGGCGTCAATTCCATCAAGTTTAAAAAATAACTTATTTGCCCACAAATTACACATATTTCGTTTACAGTTGTTATGTGATGAGGAAAAATTTCATACTTTACAGTTATGAAGTAGTTACAAAGTTTAATAAAACGTCTATTCCATTAAATAATAATTGTTTGTAACAGAACAATAAAACTGTAAATGTAATGTAATGTAACAGATCATTAAAACTTAATTACAACAATAGTTTTATAGAAAAATCAAATAACAGAACAAAGGCTGCATGGGATATAATTAAAGCTGAGCAAGGCAATAGTAAAGACAAAACAATCACATCTATTCATCATGGAAACATTACATATAAGAAGCCTCATGATATTGCAATAGTTTTTAACAATTTTTTTGTAAATACATGTAATAATTTGAACTTGAGTACAGATGTAGATGACGTAAGAGCCTTCCTTGCGAATGTGAATACTCCATTAGTAAATATGTCTCATTTTAAGGAAACAACTTCATCTGAAATTTTTAATGTCATAAAAAGTCTTAAGTCTTCAAAATCGGCTGGCTGGGATGGCATTCCATCTTTTTTAGTCAAAGCTTGTTCTGATATACTCTGTTATCCTTTATCAATTCTTATTAACAGATCTTTTGACCATCATAAATTCCCAGATTTACTTAAATATAGTGTTATAAACCCTGTTTTAAAAAAAGGGGATTCTTCAGTTTTGGACAATTATCGGCCTATCTCCATCCTCCCTACTTTCTCTAAAGTATTTGAGAAGGTAGCTTTAAACCGATTATCTTATTTTTTTGAGAGCAATCACATATTTTGTGAAAACCAGTTTGGTTTCAGGAAGGGTAGAAATACAACTAAGGCAATTTATGAGTTTGTTTCGGGCATTTCGGAGGCTGTTGATAGATCGCAGTACACAGTCGGAGTGTTCTGTGATCTGTCGAAGGCCTTCGACTGTGTTGACCATGACTTGCTCATGAAAAAATTGAATCACTATGGGGTGAGTGGTAATGCACTTCTCTGGGTTCAGTCCTATCTGGATAATAGGAAACAATCAGTCAAAATAAATAATATTGTTCAAAGTAATTATTCCATTGTTAAAGCTGGTGTCCCTCAAGGATCAATTCTGGGACCATTCCTTTACTTAGTCTTTGCTAATGACCTACCAAATGCAGTTCATAACTCCAAATTAATAACATATGCAGATGATACTACTCTTTTATGTAAACACCCCATCCGGGTTAATTTATTTAAAATGCTAGAAAATGACTTATCTGCTATGAATTCTTGGTTTAAAGCTAATGGCCTTCTTTTAAATAAAAATAAAACTTTTGCTATTAATTTTCATTCCAACTACTCCAATTCAAAATACTCTGATGACTCTTATGTCAAACCCTTATTGCAGACAGCAGATAGTTATAAATTCTTAGGGTTACACGTTGATCCTTCTTTGAAGTGGGATGAGCATGTAAATTTTTTATCAAAAATTCTCCATAAAGGTCATTTTCTAATTCTAAACTTATCAAAAATCCTGGAGATAAACATTTTGAAAATGGTTTACTATGCATATATCTATTCAAACTTAACATATGGAGTGATATTTTGGGGCAACTCACAGTCTTCTCCAGCAATATTTAAGATTCAGAAAAGCATTGTCCGTGCTATGACAAATTCCCCCTATACTGCATCATCCAAACCAATTTTCAGGAAACTAGATATTCTGCCTTTACCTTGCATTTTCATTCTACATACCCTTCTATTTGTTAAAGAAAATTTTCACAAATTCACTCTTTTAAAATCTACACATAACTATCCTACACGTAATTGTAATCTTTCTTTGCCGATACATCGAACAGCAGCTTTTGAAAAGACACCATTCTATACAGGCAGCCGATTATTTAATAAACTACCTTCTCATATTCGCAATGAATCTTCTGCTAAAGCATTTAAAAGAAAACTTGTAAACTATCTAAAGAGCCATATGTTTTATTCAGTAGAGGATTTCATTTTATATAGTAATAGTGGTTTGTAAAATGGTTCATGTGGAGAGTTTGTTTTCTCATTATGTTTAAGTTACATTAATTTAGTTTTTAACATTTTTGTATCATATTTTTGACATGTCATCTACCATTGAGGAAACTCCTCTGTATATGGTGTAATTTGTGACAATTTACATGAATAAATGAATAAATGAATAATAAATAGTTATTATTGTAACTAGTGGGTGAAGTGGCACTATGCTGCACACTTGAGGAATGTTTACGCACAGCTCTAGGCGAGTGTGGAAAGTTTCTCAAGTGCAGCAAAGGCAGTTTGCACTTGTGTTACACATTATATTTTTCCTACAGTTACTATAAATCATATAAATAATTAGTCTTTCAAACACTATACATGTTTTTAGGTCGCTGCACCATTCCATCATAGTCGTAATATCTTTTAAAGGCTTATTTTGCTTGGACCGATTGCCGCACAGCGATTAACGCTCAGCTACTATCGCTGTTGTGGCAGCCGTTTTGCTTAGAGCGATTGGTTTAGTGCTTATCGTGCCATCTACGGTAATATAGCTACTTCCCTATGGGAAAATTCGCTAAAATGAAATTAATGTGTAAGGAAATATAACCAAAGCAGTACAATCATAACAGCACATGAATAGAATAATTAATGTGAACGAAAAGTAAATTATGGTTATTTTAACCCCTATTATTAATGTGCCTACTGAGTGAACTGAATTAAGGTTCTGTGCATCAGTCGTGGAGTGATTATCGCAAGACTGGTACCCAGGCAGTGGTCCGCGACTCTTGCGGTGCCCTACTACTATCGCGGAGCGATTATCGCTCCAAGCAAAAAAAGCCTTGAGTGTTGCACACTTATTTTCAAGCGTACACAGATTATGTGCATAATAAAAGCACACTGGTTTGTGTTGTTTGGTTGGAATACTGGTCTGCGCCAAAGTAAGGCTTTCTGTACTATAAACTGTGCAAGGAAGCCCACTTGGTCGGGTGACTGTGGGAATAAATGATTTGATTTTTAAACCAAAATTTTCCAAAATATTAGGCCTACTTGCAAAAGAACAATGGTTGTGAAAGTAGCATTGCTGTAGTACCGTAATTAGTTGCATGTGTAACTAGTGAGCAAAGTGGCACTTTGCTGCACACGAGAGCAATGTTTACGCAAGTGCAGCAAAGGCCTTTTGCACTCGTGTTGCACATTATATTTTTCCTTCAGTCACTATAAAGCATATAAATAATTATAGTCTTTCAACACTGTACAACACGTTTTAAGGTTCAGCTGGCAACACAAATAGGTGCCCTAGAGAAAGTAGTCACCGGTCTGTATCACTCCGCTATTTTTTCATCGGCAAGCAATGTGCTCCGCGACTTAAGAAAATAGTTCCGTATGTTTTTGTAATTTGCAGTGGTTTCCGCGTCTAAAAAAATGCTTTAAATCTATTTTCTTGTTTATTAAGATCGTAGGAATGTTTTAAAAACGTTAAAAAGAAAAGTTCAGAAATACCGAAAAGAGAACATAAATTATAAACACGAAATGACACGTTAAATCGTAGTTATAATAGTCAATCAGCTGCTCATAGTATTATTTTTCTTTAAGTGTTGCCAACCTATTTCCAAGCGTACACGGATTACGTGCATAATAGAACCACACTGTTTAATGTTTGTTTCGTTGGAATACTGATGTGCGCCAAAGTATAAACTGTATTACAAAGTATAAATATGCAGCAATTGGCAGCTTTCCGTACTATAAACAGTACAAGGAAATCAGCTGTTTAGCTAACTAAAGTGATCAACATGTCACTTTGTTTGACAACTATATAGAAAACAATAAGTTCACATGATCAATGCACACGCCAAAAATAGGCGGCATACAAACGATCTGAAATACATGGGTTGCTATAAGCTTATAGCCATTGACAATAATAGTTGTTAATATGAGCGCCACCGGTTTACTCTATATCTCTTTCAAGTTTGTCCCGGCATATTACTTTTAAGTCCAAGTTCAATTTATTAGATTAACACAATAGGGGCTTAGCAATAGGAGATCTTATGCAATTAAACATTTTAAGTAATGCTTGCGGTAGGCTCAGTAATCCTAGCACTAACTGGACTATTTGACAATGATAGCAAATATCTCTCAATGACTGATGGTGTTTGAACCCAAGCCATCAAGATAATAACATAATACTTAAGTGCCTCAACAATAATCTACAGTATCTAAATATTGTAACTTGGTAGAAAAAAGTCATTATACAAAATACTTGAGGTTTATTGGTTTCAAACACAATGAAAAACATGAGAAAATATGTAAAAAAGTACAAAAATATACTTAAGTCTAACATAGTTAAATGCTTAATGTTATCTTGAAGAGAATTATTTGTTCCTCATTCAATATTAATACTGAATAGAAGTCCTTTAGAAGGCTCGCTTTGCAGCATCTGAAAGCACAAAAATCTGAGTTAGACAGAGAACTGAAAGACTTAATGATGAAAAGACCATACTACAAGGTTTCTGACTTCTTTGAAGATTATCTGGAACGGGACAGTTAACTTTTTGTACTGTCTGCTGCCTGTCCGCCATATAAATGTACAGTTTTAATATATGTGTGTGTGTAGTTTTTGTTTATTATGTACTTATTGTAATAACTAGACAGTCTATTCCCTCCACCAGAGGGTCAACGACGAAGGAAAATACAAATACTAAACTAATCCAAGACATATTACCGTATTCACAAACTTTTAGACAGATCTATCACCAACATTCTTAAGTAATATAACTTACGTTTTGTAAAGAGGTTGGTGGCCTCTTTAAACCTTGAGTTTGCCCATCTGCATAGGCCTCAGCCCTATGCGTAGCACGTATCCAGCAAAACAAGCGGTGAGCCGTTAGAGTGCAAGAGTTGATAAATAGTAATGTGCAAGTATTATGATTCGAACCCACTACATCGCTGCCATCAACCCAAAGTGTGGCACCACCAACTCACACAAACTCCCATTACCTAAGCTTAGGGTCTAAGCCATGCAGTTGAATGGGAACGTCCTATGTAGAATAAGAATGATTTAATTTACTCGCATTATTATTTCCTATGGTAATAAATTGTATGAAGAATCGCCAAACATTTCTCAGCTATAACAACTGCAAACACAAACTGTTAGATTCCAGTTTGTACACTACTTTGGATCATGTAGAACTCTAAACCTCTCTAGAACCCTTTACAGTGTAGCAATTGTAAATATGAATTAATACCTAATTCCATTAAAATCATAAGAATAAGAATCCATTATTGTCATTGGACACAAAGCTATAGACCTAAAAAAAAAGAAAAAAACAACAGGAACATTTATGAACAAGTGTTATCTGTATAGGTGAGAAGAAACAAAATAAAAATAACACACACCAAATTTACCATTAACAACAAAGAACAAATGTAAAATAGACAAGAAAAATGAAAATTAAGCTTGCATCAAAAAGTCGAGCGTTTTCCCCCTGAAAATATCCACTTACAATCAATAGCTATGGTTTGATTACCTACAGAAAAATTTAGAAATACTTATAAAGCTAGTGAAAAGCGAACATGAAATTCAGGGTCCAGCAGAACGGGCTGAACACCCGACTTTTCAGACTTATGTGAGTTGAGAAGAATAGGCTATACTCAGTGGGAGTGATAAGCTTGCAGGGACCCTACAGCACGGAGCAGCCCTAGCCTAAGGGAGCTCTCGGATTAATCAAAAAATAATATCACGTTCTAATCTTGAGAGAATTTGTACAAATAACAGTTTAGGTCTGTAAAACGTATTCTTACTAAACTTATAAGGCTTTAAATTATATGCAGCTGACATAAGTTCAATCAATATAGCTTCTGAGTTTAAGTATCTGATGAGATAGAGTTGTGCTAGATCATCAGGTGCTTGTAGGCCTACCTCAAGGTCTTCATCATGTCAGAACATTTCTTCATGTTTTATAAATCACAGACTTTAAATCAGCCTTTATGAGCAAGGTGACTTTGATTTTGTTCTACAGAGTGCGACAGAACGGACTAAGCAGTTTCACTTTCGTAGTGGCTGTGAAGGGTGTAGCCGGACACTGTTGGTCTTTTTGTCACCGGCAACTCATACCGTTTAAGTCACACTCTTGGTCTGGGCTGGTAAATATCAAGTTTATACTGTGTATTTAAAAAACTATGCGAAGGAAACATGATGCAATAATAAGTTAATAAAGAGAAAGTACATCACTAGCATCACTATTAAAAACAGAAACATGGACGATGCAGTTCAGTGAGAACGCAGGAAAATCTTGCGTTTTCATCAGGAACAGTGCCATTGCTCAGGATAAATACCCCCGCCGCAGCAAACCTGCCGACTAAGCGAATTTCCATTTGTCTGAATTGATTTTCAGTTAAATATATTTTAATAACATTAGGTTTAACGAGTACCTAGGTTTGCTGCTACAAGGAAACTAAAAAAGTGTGTTTTTAAGTAAAATATTGATAGCTTAGTACAAAATAAATAAATTTGCCAAGTTTGATCAAAATATATTCATAAACAAGCAAACTACAACATTAGACAATTTTCTCCATAAGAATAACATGGGAATTTTAAATTTACAATTTTTTAAATTTTCTCCGTTACTAATAATCGAACAAAAATACTTTTATATACTAAATTATTTGTTTTTTTAAGCTCTTTAAAAAGGTCTAAAGAGAAATTGGGAAATTTTGTGTTTTAAGGGTCAAAAGTGAGAAAAACCAATTTTTACCCCATAAAACCCCCCGTAAAGCCCCGTTCCCATGGTCCGATCGTGCTGGTTCGCGAACTCATTCAAGTTTATCCTGCTTTACACCTTTAAACCAAATTTCATCAAAATCGGACAAAAATTACTCAAGTTATCGCGTTCACGGACGTATATATATATATATATATATATATATATATATATAAGTCTATATATATATATATATATATATATATATATATATACATATATAAAAATTTGAACGAATAGTGTTTTTGGCCTCTGGGGACATCAAAATGAAAAAGTAAATCGGTCCCGGGTCTAGGTCTTACCGTGCCACCTACGGTAATAGCTACTTCCCTATAGGGAAATTCGCTAAAATCTACTGTCGAAAAGACTTTTGGGACGTACATCAATGACTTGAAGTTTTTGAAATACACACACACAGTGAAACCTAAACATGATAGCAACTGGAACGGTAACTTTGACAGATGCGAAAAACCAGTCCGCATACGCCTTCAAAGCCGGAGAACTATACGAAAGAAACTGTTCAGCCCGTTCTGTTGGAACCTGTATTTCATGTTAGCTTTTCACTTGGCATAATCTACCTCAAACTAAGCATACAACATAACTGAACTGAGAAAGTCGTCTCACCTTGTATTAAAATGGTCTGATAGGAGTTTCAATTCCAAAAGGACTGTAGAGTTTGATAGGCGTCCGCCCAAGAATAACTCGAGTTTTCCTTGATGGTGTTTGAAAATCAGTCGTCACACTTCCACATTCCTGAAGAGAATGCCTTTTGTACATGTTTGGATGCAAAGTCTGTAGAAAAAACAATAGTATTAATTGAATAGAATTGTTATAGCTTTTCAACAGATTTATTTTAAAACCACCAGGTAATTCCTATAGCAATATGGAATTCAGCAAACTTCTGGAGCTCATTTCACAACTACAACCATTTAAATTTTGTTCAAATTCATATCAACTTTGTGTTTAAGAGAGGCCTAATTCTTGCAATAGTTTAAATAATAAATTTCATAAAAGGCAAGGCAAATAAAGGTCAAGTAGGAAACACAATGGAGTTTAAACACAAGCATTGGTTACTAATTGAGCATAAATAAATAAACAATGCACAAAAATAATGGGTAAAAATCATACAGTACCATGTAAAAAATTACGGGAGGTGAAATTTGAAGGGAACATAACATGGAATAAATGGCAAGTAGAATGAAGATTCTGTTCAACGAGTTTGTTGATAAACTAATTATTCGATTTCAACCCTTACAGACTTATATGAGTTAGGAAGAGTAATCTCAGTGTGAGTGATAAAGCTTGCAAGCTTCTTCTTACTGCACGGAGCAGCCCTAGCCTAAGGGAGCCCTCGGGTTAATCAACAAATAATATCACGTTTGTACAAATATCTGTTTAGGCCTGTAAAAGGTATTCTTACTAAACTTGATATATTATACTTATTGTTATTGCTAATTGAAAAATGAACATCACTGCTTATCAAAACAGTCACAACCACCAATTTCAGTTGTATGCTGTGTTTCAATGTTTTTAGTAGAATCTTCATGCACACACTTTGGATATTGTAAATGGAATCGATATTGGAAACCTAATAAGTAACCTAAGCCATATAGATGGATTAACACACTGAGTAAAGAAAACCAGAAGTTTTAAACAAAGCTTACGACATTTTAAATCACACTGTCGTATTTTGGTTTTTTATTAAAGTTTCTGTAGGCCTACTTAAAAAGATTAGGTTGTTAGTGGGGAGCGAGCTGGCGTAGTGGTTAGAGCGCAGGACTTCAGTCCCTGTGGTCCCGGGTTCGATCCCCGCCAAGTCACCAATGGATTTATCTAAGTGATAATGCTGCAACCCCTAGGTCTAGCCTGAAGTAATGTGAAAAACAATCCCAGGCTCGTGCCTAGCGTCCTAGAAAAAAAAAGTGCCTCCACTAGGTGCACTATTCCGTCGTATTTTCGCAATAATATTTAACGATTTATGCAGAACATAACATTTTATACATTCTAACAGCAGAGGCATGTTGAACCAAATCTAACGAAACAATTCTAATAGGACAGACAAAAAATAATGATAACAATATAAAGTCCAATATATGAAATCAACAAGTAATAAATAAATCTTCTAATAAAAGTAGTAAATAAATTATGTGTATTTATTTTGTTTGTATTGTTGTTGTTGTTGTTTCATATTGTATTTTTTTTTAATAGGCCTCATAATAGGTATTTATATCTATTGTTTTTCCTTTTTGATTGTATAGCGAAGCGAGCTGGTGTAGTGGTTAGAGGGCGGGGCTTCGGCCCCTGAGGTCCCGGGTTTAAATCCTACCAAATTACCAATTTTATTTAAGTGATAATGTCGCAACCCCTATGTCTAGCCTAAAGTAATATGAAAAACAATTCCGGGCTCGTGCCTAGCGTCCTAGGAAAAAAAAATTTTCAATGATAGTTTTCTATCTCTGTAACTTAGTCAACAGCTTTTCAACATTTATTATTTAGCTATTAGTAAAAAAAAGGTAAATGGTGTTTGCGGCTAGTGGAAAAAATAATATATAGGATTGAGTAATAAATAGTGACTAAAAAACATAGGCCTACTGGCCTACAACATAATAATAAGGCTTCACCTATGCTGGGAGGATCCATTTTTGTTGGAATTACTGTTTCTATATTTTGATTAATGGAATAAATGATGTTTGATTTGATTTGATTTGATAATACGGTAACTTATATAATCTAATTATAAGATTACCGGTAACTGTTGTCATGTATGCTGCTCGTCCAAAGGAACTAAAGAAGTCCAAATAAATATGTGATACTGATACTCGATATCCGACTCCATCATATTATCAAATATAAAAATACCGATTTGATCAATAGTTAATTCAACCTAACTTATCTTAATCAAGAACCAAACTTCTATATTGATTGTAGGCCTACAGATTTTGATTACAATGGAGGCTTATATCAAAGTTTTGCCAAATTCAGCATGGTTAACCGGACAGGAACAGGAAAAAATTATAGGAAAAAATAAAAATTTATTTTCTTTATTTGTGTTTTGTTATACAAGTATACATAAAATAAACACAATGGAACACTTCATACTGTCAAAATAATTTTTTACTTGTTTTTAACTAGGCCTATGCGGATATATCCGCTACCCGTCCGCGGATGAGTAGAAAAGCAGCGGATATATCTGCCACCGTCTTTAAAGATATGACCATGACAACGTTAGGCAATAAATAAAGAACAATATGTAAATAATAAATAAAGATAACGTAGTGTTGAGCGCGAAACGTCGAGGGGGGAGCGTAGGAGAGGTAAGGGTGTGTGGAAGAAGGGAAGGCATGGGAGAGGGGTAGGCGCGAAAGAGAGAGAAGGGAGTGCAGGAGAGAGCGCAGCCACGGAGAGAGCAGGAAAGTGGCGCCTTCATACCGCAAAAAATCTGGTTACTGCTCAAGCACCTGCCAGTCTGGCTAAAGAGAAGGCGGATGTATCCGCTTCCCGTCCGGAACATCAAAAACCATAAGTGGATATATCCGCCACCCGTCCTTTATCGCCAAAGACTTAGGCGGATATATCCGTCATCCGTCCGGGAAGGGTTAAAAGAAAACTTTCAATCTTATTGATAGGTAGCCTAACTTATCTTAACCAAGAACCAAACTTCTATGATGATTGTAACAATCGACAATTACGATGCATTCTATTCTGATACCCTATATAAAAGTTTTCCAAAAATGTGCAGAGTGATGATGTAGGCTAATGGGTAAGTTATGCAGTTCTTAAATTGCAAAATTCAGCATAGCTTCGATAATAGAAGAATTTATATCTTTTCATTTTTTTTTTTTTTTTTTGTGAACGGCCTTATTTGGTTAATTGCAAAGCAGAAACAACTGAATATATGGTAGGTAAGAAAATCTTTGTTGGAAGGCTAAGTATTGGTAAAATGTGAGTAAACTTAATGCTACTTAAATTCATTGTATTGTGGTTTACCCCTGAGCTGGTACGACAAATATAAATAGTGGTTTAATTACCTTGTATTTTCGTCCCAGCTCAAAAAAGTTGTATTGAAGCTACAACCTTGGTTTCGATGCCGATTGCGTCATGGTAATTTAGGGCATGTCGAGAATCAAAGCATTGTTGTCGTTGTCACAGTATGTCGCTTGGACGTCGTCAAAATCACATTTAACACAAACACGAACACATTGGGACACGGACATATTAGTCCTACATGACCATGACGCAATTGGCGTTGAAACCATGGTTGAAGCTTCAATACAGCTCTTTTGAGCTGGGATGAAAATACAAGGTAAATAAGCCACTATTACAGTGTTAGCAAAAGGGGAGTGCCGATTGGAGACCTGTGGGGGTGCGTGCGTTTGAAGGGACTTGAACTGGTCTCCATCGGCACTCCCGTTCTGCTACCACTATAATGCAACTTAGGTAGGCCTATAATCAATCTATGTAGGCCTAGCCTAGACACTGTAAGAATTCATCAATCGTATGGTTTGATGACAGATATGTAAAAGCTATTTCGCATAAGAATGCATTAGGGTAGGCCTACAGTCAAATCAAATCAAATCAATTTTATTTCCACAATATATAAAAAATTTACAATTTTTCAAAAAAATAAAATACAAATATATATAGTCTTGAAGCATTATAGAGTAAATTGATTACGTAAATTAATTCTAGTAAAATTAAATTTATAAAGTTATAATAGTAAAAACTTAAATACTAGTTGAATGTTTGCTCCGGCTTGAATAATAACTAATGTAATAGATAAAGGAAATGAGTCTACATGGACCTCAGTGGTCTGTGCGTAGACTCGAGTTGTTAAAAATTATATATATTTTTGAGCTAATTTGAAATAGAAGAAAAAGTTTAAGATTAAATAAAAATTTACCATGTGCTATGGGAACGTGTAAAGATAAAGATAAGTTTAAAGATTATATAAAAAATTGGAGTAAATATTAATTTAAATTTTTATGAACAGAATTGTTTAAGGAGAAGCCAATAAATAAAATGGAAAAGAATTTTGTTGGTTGCAAGAGTTTGCAGAGGCCCTGTCCGTTCAGTGCTGTCAGACAGTGGCAGGTCTCCTGTTATCAGTAGTGATAAGAGCCTCGGCCTCTTCATCGCTGATATCCAATAACCATCTATTAACTAGATTTTTGAATACACCTAATGTAGGTGAATGAAATAACTGAGTTGCTTTATACATAGTGGAATAATTCCGGAACAAAATATGTGCTATGTAGAAACAATTTGTTTTTGAAAAGGATTTATGCTGCTGAATAGTAGAAATTCCAATTCTATTTGCATATCTTGTATTATGAGTGTGGGTTATGGAAGTAAAAATTGAATTGAAGTTTTTAAATATAAAAATTAGAAGATCTTTGATAAACAATTTTGCAATGGGGAATATTCCAGTTTCATGAAATAGTAAATCTGAGGGGTATCTTTTACACTTTTTGAAACCAGCTTTTAGGATAGACTTTTGAACCAGAATCAGACCTGTGAGATGTGAACTGTACGCCCCTCCCCAAGCTAATATTCCATAAGACAAAACCGACTGTACATATGCAAAATATGTTGATTTAATTTCTTTAAAACTGAGAACATCACTTAACTGTCTAAATGCAAATATAAGTTTTCTAGTTTTATTTTGCAAGAAATTAATATGCTCTATCCATTTCATATGTGAGTCAAAAATTATTCCTAAATATTTATATGAGTTAACTCTCTCTAAGGTATCGCACGAACAACTGTTATTGAATTGGTTGAGACAACTGTGCAAGATCAAATTGGTTAGGTTATAGTCAGCTGTTGACGCGAGAGAAATAGGCATGAATTTTGTTTTGGAAACATTAAGAGATAGTACATTTTGGTCGAGCCATTTTTTTACTAATTTGAGATCTGTTTGAGCTTTACTTTTCACACCTTCCCATGTCTTATCCTTAACATAAATCAATGTGTCATCTGCAAAAAGAAACATTTTTCCAAAAATTGGTAATTTAGAAATATTATTTATATATATTAGGAATAAAATAGGCCCAAGGGTACTCCCCTGAATCACCCCATAGTCAACAGGCACCTCATCGCTATTGACTCCATCTATGTATACGAATTGTCGCCTATCTCTGAGGTAGCTTTCGAACCATGAGAGAGCGTTCCCCCTTACACCTATAGCAGATAATTTTGAAATTAGATGCTTTCTGTCTACACTATCAAAAGCTTTTTTGAGATCTAAAAAAATTAATACTGAGCGCAAGTTTTCAGATAGAGCATTAAAAATTTCTTTGTTGATATGAAAAAGAACATCTGTAACATTTTTATCTTTTCTGAACCCATATTGACAGTCTGCTAGGATCTGATTCTGGTTCAAGTAATCCACCATTTGTTCCTTAACTATTTTTTCAAGCACCTTAGAGAATGCACTCAATAAAGATATTACGGAAAGTAAATAAAAGAAACGTCTTATAACACTTAAAACATATATTTACGCTTATACTGTTACTCACAAGACGGTAAATATACAAAAAAGGTGGTAATGTATATTTACCGTCTTGTGAGTAACAGTATAAGCGTAAATATATGTTTTAAGTGTTATAAGACGTTTCTTTTATTTACTTTCCGTAAATTTAATAACACGTACAATGCTGATCAAGAAGTTATAAAGATATTGGTCTGAAATTATTTTTGTCTTTGTGGGAGTTTGATTTGTATAAAGGAAAAACTTTTGCCAATTTAAACTTGTCCGGAAATATTCCACTAGCCAAACTTAAGTTTATGATATGCAATAATGGTTTAGAGAGTGAATTTACATTTTCTTTGAGAACATCAGCCGAGACACCATCAAAACCGGGGGCAGACCCACCACGTAACGAGTAGACATGTCTGATAACGTCGAGTTCAGTCACTGTCTGGAGTGTAAACACAGTGTCCTGCCTGTAATCTGCGTCGTTGATGATCGGCGGACCGCTGCTATTTATTGAACTGGCAAGGTTATATCCAACAGAAGCGAAAAATGTGTTAAAGTCATCAGCTACAATCTTTCTTACATCAGGAGTGATGTTGGATACGTTTGGAAGATATTTCTGAACTGAAAAGGGGTCTTTTTTATTTGATCGCCCCGCCAGCTCGTTCACAACCATCCAAAAGCGTTTGGGGTTGTTTTGATATTGGTTTAATTTTGACCTGTAATATACTCAATCCTACATGTAATCCTACATGTAATGTACATGTAATGTAATCCTACATTTTACGGAAGCGAGTGCTTAGAGCTTTTAATACCACTGGAAATTTGATGTCTTAAATCACGATATTCTTTATTTAAAGTAGCATTAAACGGCTGTTTTTTAATTTTCTTACTAGTTTTATCTCTTTCCCTAATTAGCTTAATCAAATCATTTGTGATCCATGGCTTTAATTTTTTGAACCTCGATGATTTCTTAACAGATTTTTTAGAACTATCTATGGTTTCATCCATGATTTGTAAAAAACGAGATGCACAAGAGTTAATGTCAAGGTCGATAAAAAAGTTGCTCCAGTCTATTTGCGCAAGATTACAGGACAGTAGTGTATGATCGATAATGCGTGTAGAAGTATCCAAAGTAACTGACGGTGTATTGGTTGGAAAAGTAATAGTCATGCCTGTGCTGAAATGGTCTGTAACGTGTGTGTGTAATGTTGCTGATTGTACATTTTTCATGTCGTTGTAACGTATGAACATGTGATCAATGCAAGTTTGGCTATTTCTTAACTAACACTCTTCTTAAGTCACAGTTTCTTAACTGTCTATGCTAATATCGATTGAAACTATCGATTCGATTAGTAAACCTTCATGCGATTCTTTCACCATCAGTAAGTTTGGTTGGTTAGGTTAGGTTAGTTTAATATAATAATAGATAGGCTATATTTAAAATATCGATTATTAATCAATATTTTCAATTCAATAGTTTCAATCGATATAAGCATAGAACTTATAAACTGTACTATGTGGGGTTAAGACACTGTACCCATGCATTATGCTCCTGCATAATCTTTGAAAACAATCAATGTTAACCTAGGCCAAGTACAAAAACATCATAATCTTAGGCCTAAGTTACCTGAGCTGCTGATGAACACTTGTTTTTTAAAACCATTAGTGCTTTATTAATTTTAGTTACACCGCTTGAAATGGCACTTTTTGCTTTATAATAAAACGCTGGACATCTTTCAGGAAATAAATTCTTTCTTATTGAAGATCTCTTCCCATGCAACGTGTGATTTGAATCATGTTTGAGATCATCTGGATTATGATCTTCTGACGACAGATTACACCACTTTGACATGATTACTTGATCGTTAATTGCATAAATATACCTTATAAATTTCTCTTTATCAAGCAAACTAATTAGATGGGACTAAAATTAGTAAAATTGAGTAAGAAAACTATAGTGTTAGTCCTTTTTCAGTCTTTGATGCAATTTTTGAATTGAAATTAAATCTTGTTTGGAGGTTATTTTGAAATTCAAATATTATGAAGTCAAGTGTGAGTGTCATTAGCTAAAAAAATCAACAGCTGCATATTTTGCACAGCTGTAAAGGTAACGAGGTAAATTGCAAAGTTGATCATAGATTAAATACGAATGAAATATTCTGCAGTTGAAATTAGTTACTTGCATTGATATAACATTGTAAATGAAAATTTCTTTAATTATTTATAAATATGACATTCCTTTCATTCTAATTCACCATTTTAGTGGAACTGATAAAGACAAATTTAATTGTAAGATTTTTGAAGTTCGGCAACGCTTTGCTTTGGTGTGCTGGGTGGGTCCCATAGCGTCGAAACCATTAACATTGACTTGACATCCTATTGCGGGGACATATTTTCTCTAATAATAACATATTATTACATTTCTTTCATTCAGTCAAATAACATAATCTTATAATATTGTAAACTTCTGATTATTATGTGTAATGACTAAAGACAAAAGAACAGCTTGGTCTATATAAACTAGTTTATGAGTAACCAAACATGAAACATTGTGTCAAAACAAGCTTTATTATGTTTTTAATTGTAACTTATACATCAAAAGCACTAAAAAATAATCAATGAGCTAAATAAACTATTGATGTTTTATTACATTCTAGAGGTTATGATTATATACTCCTGAGGCTTTGTAATATTCGATTTTCAATATTTATGACATTTATCAACTTTTATGATTAAATCTCTATAGAACGGCGGTCATCGGTATTTTTATTTAATTAAACAAACAAACGGTTTACCTACATTTAGTATTTAGTGTGTAATGAAACCATCAAACTATACATTATAAGTATATCAATCAATCAAAACTTCTTTATTTATGTTGCACGTACACAGTTTAATTAAAGGCGATAATGTAGTTTTTATTGGGTAATTGATTGATATTGTATTATGGCCATGCAATTTTGAGATATATTTTTGAACTTAAATATATACATACGAATTTAAATATTGATACATGTCTCCATTTATTTAATAAATATGTTAAGTAAAGGGTGTTATTGTCCATTTTTGTATATGTAAGAATTCAAAACAGAACATGTAATTGATGTGCTTATAGTGGTAGTACTGTTGTTTAAAACATCAAGCTGAAAGCTGACTGAAGGCGGAGAGAGGCAGAAGAAGTAGTACTAGCAGTACAGCGAACTGAAGCTAAAAGTCACTAACACTATAGTAAAGTCAGTTGAACAGCTGTTTTTGACTAGTTTAGTTATCGGTAAATGCCGTTGATACATAATATAATTTTTGTTTATTACCTATTTTGTTAAAATTTCATAAATTTTCGTTGCATTATTTTTCGGAATGTCTGCAGATCCCCATGATGCACAGTTTGCAGCAAAATCTAATCCTACAACGGTTACAGATAGCCCAGTTACAGACCCTGGTTCCTCAGTGAAGGCAAGTCATATGATCATCTTGTTTGTCAATTGCTTTAGGATAGTCCTTACTTTTAACATCCTACTTATCTTGATATTTGAAAGCAACAACAGGAAGGGTTCATTAACTTCAACTTTTATGTTATAAAGACTCGGATGGTTTCTCCTTTTAAGCTAAAAATACAATTCAAATATTGGCCCTGAGTGTTTTTATCAGATCAAAGATTGTGATTTTGTTTTCCTTAACGAGTCTGACCATATTGTTCTGATATTGATAGTTCAGAGATTCCTCAGCTAAACCTAGATGACAAAACTTTGTAAATGATTGACAGATTAAGTAGGCTATATTCGTTTTTGTTCATATACATTCTTGATAAATAAAGAAACTAAAAATCGCAAAATGAGAAGTCGCTTATTTGTACTTAAGTCTGGAAGAAATGAGAACGCCAACTCTGAATCTTCTACTCTGAAGCCATGACCTTCGCAGAAAGTTAAACAATGATTTAAGATTCAATATCATAATCATAAAGTTACTACATTGTCAAATAAATTCTTAAATGTTTTATGGCTCCATTCTAGCTGGGTGAGAAAATCTACGCAATGGTAGCGGCAGCAAAAATCACAAACATACGAGAAGGCATGAGCGTAGGCGAGCAACCTAGTTTCTGTGGCAATGGTCACAACACTCTATGGCAACATTTCTCTTTGTATATGCAATTGTTGGGACTTTAGGATGGAGAGGTGATCCTAAAGTCCCTCCTTTTGTGCAGTGAATAGTACCATTCTACTTTGAGATGCCGTATGAGGCAACAATGTGTGCTGTGCAAAATCACCCTAGTTTGTGAAAAATAATAAAATGACTAATTTGTGACACTCTTAGTGTTCCTAGTGTGGTGAAACTCAGAAGGCCTACATTATTTGTAGAACCTCTATTATCCATATTAATTTTGTTTTTAATAGCCTATGCGTGTCAGTATGGAGCATTTCAAGTTGTCGTTCTCACCTGCTGCCAACATGTTTATGCTAGAAGTACACTATTGCTGAATATAGGCGAGCAAAGGCAGGCACGATAGTGTACTCGGTCTACTTGTGTACGCTCGGGATAGCTCTTTTCGCCATGATTCATCTCGCCTGTGCTCTATTTTTTGTTGGTTAAAGGAGAAGAGCAAAGGCGAGTGCCAGAAGGAAAAATATCTTTAAACACCAGGAAGCATGTTGGGTTAACATGGGCAAGCTTGTACTGGGTGAGCTCGTGGGTACTCGTGGTTCACGTTCGGCAGCATTTGTCATTGCAAATCACAGAAAACATACTACTATAACCCAGAATGCCAACCGCATGGTAAAAAGCATTAAGTGTTTTGAGAGAGCTTTGCCTGTCAATCGTAGGCAGCGCCACCAGCATTGCTATGCTGAGTGCATGGTGGCGCTACCTATGATTGACAGGCAAAGCTCTCTCAAAACACTTAGTGCTTTTTACCACGCGGTTGGCATTCTGGGTTATAGTAATATGTTTTCTGTGTTGCAAATCGAGTAAAAGATTTGACAAAACATTCGGCGATAGTGTACAGCTAGCATTACATACCATTCATCACATTTTATGCACAATAAGCTTCGATTGACATGCCGGAACCCTGAGTATGCCATTGTGCTATGGTTGTGTAATATACTATGGACTAACTATGCATCATAGATCATTTCAATTTCGATGACGATTGCGTTACTGTATTCGTGTGATTTTGTTGCCCAGCTAGGTCGGGGCCAATGTTAGTCTTTAGTTTAAAACTTACTTAACTTTTTACATTTGAAGCCTTCATCACAAATAATATAAAAATCCTACATAGTGATGATAGGGAAGTAAAATGAATTTAAAATAACCCAGCGTTATATTCTAATTAAAAAGACGGATTGAAAAGGGCTGGACAAGGAAGTAATAGGTGAAAAAATAGTATTTTCAACTGTGTTTCCCATCTACATAGGCCTACCCTAGTAGTAGTAATAAATTAAGTTGTAAACAAGCTTAAAATAATGAACCTTAGTTGTTCCTGGCGAACTAGGCCAGTTGGAACATCTCATTTCGACTTCAAGTGCTAAAAAAACTTGAGTAGGTAGGCCTAATTACCATTCTTGATAAACATTACCGACCATAAACATTACAAAATATCAATTCTTCCATCCTAACCACTTGTTTACATGTTTAGGCCTAATTATAACTTCGTCTGTTTTGGGAATCATCCTTTGGAACATGGATAAAGGCACATTGACACTCATTAATCCAATATTGGGATCATTCGTTAATTTAATTACCAAAAATAGTACCAATTTTAATCTTCAATCTACAATAAGTTGTAATGGTTTAAATACCGGTACCTGCATTCAGAAACCCAAAAAGTTGCTTGTGACAACTATAGTTTCGATTCACGGGGAATCATCTTCAGGCCGTACAAGGCGTCGTTATTCATCTCCGTATATGAAGGTCGTCATTTAATAAATAAGTACATAGAACACGAACACACACGAAAACGCACATTGAAGGACGAACATTTAACATTAAAAATACCGAGTACTCGGAGACACAAGACAGGTGACGCTACTACAGTTCGAGCTTCAACCTCCACCCGGTCACGTCACCTGTCTCGTGTCTCCGAGTACTCGGTATTTTTAATGTTAAATGTTCGTCTTTCAATTTGTGTGTTCGTGGCCAGCTCCGCATTATTCCCCCACCTGTGGTAGGCTACACACAGAGGCTACTGTGGTTGGTATTTGGTGACTTTAAGTTCAAAAATGTATGTCAGAATCGGTTGGGCTGATGCGCCATTATTAGTTCATTGCTCATCGGCTACTAGATAGTCTTAAAGAGACGTTAAAACAAGGGCATGATTTTGTTAGTTTACTTACCCGATCCAAGAAAAATCCTGTCTTATCCCTTATGCATTTTCCCGTTCTATACCAAGTCTTTAAGATGTATCATGTCTAAATAGCTCTTCAAACCTTGCTACAATGCTGAGATAGAATAATTCAAGCAATTGGGGTTAGTTTTCATCTGGTAAGCTGTAAAAAACAAGAAAATTAATTGTCAAAGCTGAATTTCCTGTTTTAATGAATATCTGTTTATCCTATTTAATCTACATGTGGGCTAAAAATCCTGTTTTTGGTGACACTGGTCCTAAAATCAACGAAATGTAATTCTTAAGCTTGGTGCTCAATACTTGACTTAGGTACTTGATTTCTCGATAAAGATGCATAGTCCTGGACATGACTAGTGTTCTGTGTGCATGTCGTTTATAGAGAATTTTGCTTTTGCATTTCAATATAGGTGTCTTAGAAAGTGTTTTCCACTCGGGTGTCAAGTCCGCGCCTGTTACGTTTTCCAGCTATGACGTCATCAAAATGGCGGCTAGGGCAATTTTTAAATGCGTATATTTCGCATACCGTTTAACGGATCTTGATGATTCTTTTTTTGTTTGAAAGATAATGTTTTAGGAAATGTTTTTTGTATTTACACTTTTGTTGTCAACTTAATATCTCACTATACTAAAAAACGTGGTTTTTAATATCATTGTTTTTGAATTTTTCCTCATAACATGTTGAACGCTAATAGAATGAAATAACTACCCATTACAAAAGTTGTAGATAATTTTATGCCCTTTCCAACGATACCAAACAATTCATGTTTGAAACTAAAATTAAAGCCAAGAGATTAAATAAACCGTTCACTAACACTTAACATGGTAGAAAGTCCGGAAAATATTGCGGCTGAAACAATTCTTCAAACGCGTATATTTCGCATACTGGTAAACGAACCGGGATGATTCTTTTTTTGTTTGAAAGATATTTTTACAAGCTATCTTTTTTGTATTTACACCTTTGTTGTTAACCTACTATTTATCCCACAATATTAATAAATGTACATTTAATTGTTGTTTTCATTTTACTTTTGCTTATAACTTTTTGACAAATAGTAGGTTAACAACAAAGGTGTAAATACAAAAAAGATAGCTTGTAAAAATATCTTTCAAACAAAAAAGAATCATCCCGATCCGTTAAACAGTTTGCGAAATATAGGCATTTAAAAATTGCCGAGCCGCCATCTATTTGACGTCATGGCTCGAATACGTACCAGGTGCGAACTTGACACCTTGAGTGGAAAACACTTCCTAATACACCTATATTGAAATGCAAAAGCAAAATTCTGTATACACGACATGCACACAGAACCCTAGTCATGTCCTGGACTAGCATACTTACGACTCTAAAATAGGTTAGTAAAATAATAAATAATAGCCATATTCCATACATATTCCTACCTGACTGACCACAAAAAGTGGATATGTGTAAAATATGTTTGCCTTAAGAAGGGGTAGCCAGTAAAAAAGGCTGGGAAACACTGATTAGTACAAAGGTTTTAAGGGGGTTTTAGACATCATGCTTACCTGAGTGAGATATAGTCCTTCCTGGCACAGGAAACATGAAACACTTGACACTAGTTTATACAAAAAATATTAAATACTTCAATGTCACTGTCAGCATTTTCAACCAATGGGTTTAGTTGGAAATAGTGATGGCATTACTCACCAGGTCTACTGCCCAGTGTTGCCAACATGTACACATTTAATACAGTTTATTAGTTATATTTTGTTTTATGTATACTCATTACAGTACAAAACAACAAGTATACGCATATTGACGTACATGTGTGTTACTCTGTGTACTATTCTGGATAAACTGAAATTGTTTGAAATGTTATCTCAGGCTGTTTGGGCGTTTGTCATGATTTTATGAACCATGGTAATTAACTAATTATCTTAGCTGTGACTGATTATCTGAGAGGACAGGGGTTTTTTACTGTTTTCAATGTCAGTCATTAAAATTGTGGTTGTATTGACTTAAAGGCATTGTTAAAGGTTTGTTTTTTAAATTAGTAGATGCATAATTTCATCATTGTCTATGACCAGTCATCTTGGTTCTAAGGCTATTTGAGGATATGTCTCTCAAGTCAGTAATTCTTGACATAATATAGCCTCTATGTATAGGCCTTGAACAAAAGCTAAATGTCATGTTTCTAACTATGCCTATTGCTATAGTTTATTTCTGCAAATTTGTTGTTATTTCGTTGCTTAAACTGATTACTGATCGTTGGTTACTGATTGACTTAAATAAAAATGATAGGAACAGTTTGAATATTTAAAATATTGTATTTTTGCAGTAAAACCCTCTTTCTAAATTTTCATTGTTGAATCTGTTAAATATTGGTAGTGATAAACAGGTATCCAGCAGATGCCAATGTTATAATTATTTCCTGTTGTATGTAACATAAATGTTGTCAAGCGAGTGATAAGAGTTGCTGTCTGTTTATTGGATGTTTATGAAAGGTCCCAACCCACAGACCTCTAGTTTCATAAACAATGTTACGTTGATTTGTGTGGAGAATGTTATGAAACACATGGTGACCTTTTACGTTGTTTCATATTTCATTTGATTACTGTCACTAGACGACAGACTTAACCTTGTTTCCTCATATCATATTGGCTTTATATTGAGTTTTGTATTCAGATGTAATTTCCTTTAAAAGTATGGTTTTGTTTTGTATACCCCAGTTGACTTTTACCTTCTGTATTGTGAGGACTCTGATATGGATAGGCTTTTAATGTAACAGATTTTCCCAGTAAGTGTAAAATGATTTTCTAAACACAGTTAATAAATTCATACAATTCAGATTCATTTAAGTTTTTCTAGCATTTTAATTAAAAACTATCAAGCCCTACGTAGTTAGTAAAATAAAAAAATCTGATTTTCAATTATTTAGCAAAACAAGTTTGCATGACTTATACACTAAACTTTTGTTGATTTGTTCTTATTGGTTACATTATTATTTTGATAAGGATTATTTTTGTGTGCATGTTAAAAAAAAGTTTAATCATTTTTATTTTTTACTTTTAGGAAGAAGATTCTTTTGAAATTATAGTTGAAAGCACAAAAGGGCTGAAAGTTTCATACCAGGTATTTACGATTTTGATTGGATTTCCTAAAGTGAATCGATTTATTTGAAAATAATTTTGTTGAGTTTATAAAAAAAATTGTCATAGCTAATTAAGTTTTAAATATTCAAATGACACGTAAAATTTGAAAATGCACATAAACGGTGTGCTTTCGTCGCCATGATTTGATTATAGAAATTTTTTTTGTTAGTTTAAATTCCACGTTGGTTTTTATGAAATCTATAAATTTGATTCACAAAGTATTCTGACTTATATAGGCTTACACTATATTGTTTATGAAATGTAATTTTAAAACTTTTCAAAAGAACCCTTCCTTCCTAAATGATACTTAAATAAATATTAACATTTAACCATCTAAAAAGTTTTATTAGAGGTATCCAGATGTTTGGTTGGTAAGTAATTTGAAAAATGTTCTACCTACTAAACTTTAGTTTGTGTTTTCCTTCCATCTTTAGTATCCAATTCACTTTTAAACATGATCCAAAGCTTGTCAATTAATTGTTAGTAGTTACTTATTTTTAGTTATCCTTTGTGTTATAATTATTTTTGTTGTGAGTAATATGAAGATACCCAAACATTTACAAATGAAAAATTGATTTACAGGGTGAAAATAAGCAAGTAGGCTCAAAGGCTAAGGCATCTAATGGTGAAGTGGGTGCACACGGGGTGAGTCAAGTACCACACTTTTTTAGAAGCAATCTTGAATTTCTGTTTTCACACTAAATTTAGATGCTATCACTAATAATTCACATTCTGCAGGGCCTTAGTTCGCTTGAAGTATTTTTCTTACTTTAACTATCTCAGTTTGATATATTTTAAAGTATTGATATCGTCAGCTATGTGATGAGTATAGGTACATAAAAAACATTAAAATTTCCTTCTTGATGTGTCTTAAAATTCAATGATTAAACACAATAAAACTGAAAATCTATGGCTTAAATTTTTATACTTGATTCTTATCTAACTTGCACAACTACAAACATTTTAACTGTATTATCCATTTTGTGTAAGTTTTTATTTATTTATTGTGTTTGTAAAATTTCATGTGCCTGTAGTTGAACATAGCGGAAAATTAATTTTCAACCTCAAAATTGATACCATGAAAGATGTACAGTAAACCTCTGATTGTTATTAAAAAAAAAAAACTGTTATAAAATTATACTTAGGCGCAACTTAGTGTACTTTTAATTTTATTTTTTGAACTTGTATTAACAAACTGTCCTCTGTGCACTTTTTAAAATTAAGACTCATATTTCTAAACACTTATTACTTCCTGTCCCAATCATTGGTTTTAAATTCTCATTCTTATCTGTCGGTGGTGGTGTTTTTTATTTAAAAAAATTAGATTCTAAACATTAGAAATTGAAATTTATGTAGGATTAGCATTTTGCATGAGTTTGCTAAAACATAATCACATAATGAAACAACTAGCAAGTGAAGATAGGATAGATACATACAAAAATATGGGAAAACTTTAGTAATAAAAGTATTGTTCATTAAATTAAATTTTTTGGAACTCTTCATGAACAGTTCTTATTATTCATGCATAATACTTTCTGTAGAATAATTTCCACTTACAGTGTCATTTAAAAACCGCTTTTTTCATGTGCAAATATTCAAACAAGATAGATCACTCGCAATTCAATCAAAATACGGTATATTGATAGTTTATTTAATAAATGGTTTTGAAATTCCTATAAATTTGTTTGTTTCATTGTAGAACTTAAAAGCTGGATATACATTTGTTCTGTACCCTTAATGTACTTTCTTTGAAGCATTGACAAGTTGATCAATTCTCTTCAATTAGATTATTTACATTTTATCCACACACGAGCAATCTATTGATAGCTGTTGATGAAGCAGCCGACTTACAGTAGCGTGTTTGTTCACACATAAACTTTTAGCTAGATAATTCTTGACAAAGAATAATTTTTACTATTCAACTGATGACTTCTTATATGTATTTATTGAAGTTTGCATTTTAATCCTCAATTGAACATTTAAACAGTTCATTTTCAGAATTCATTTCCTACTACTGGAACGTCAGTTATTAATAAATAATGATAACATTACCTTCTACCGTTCCAAATTGTTGTAGTCTACGACGCGTTTTGCCAACACAGTGACATCATCAGGTATCCGCTATTGCTTCGTCTTGAATATTAAAATAAAACAGTCATTGCACAATTCACAAACACAGATACATTTAAAACATAGACCGATCGGTATTGTCGTCGCGGTGGCCACAACTCGTGTACGCACATGATTAATTCTGGGCGACAACTGCCAATCGGTCTTTAAATGTTTGAAATGTATTAAATATGTGTTTGTGATTTGTGCAGTGACTGTTTTATTAGCGAATTTCCCTATAGGGAAGTAGCTATTACCGTAGGTCTCATGGTAAGACTTAGGCCCGGGACCGATTTACTTTTTCATTTTAATGTCCCCAGAGGCCAAAAACACCATTCGTTCAAATTTTTATATATGTATATATATATATATAGATATATATATATATATATATATATAGATTTATATATATATATATGTGTCCGTGAACACGATAACTTGAGTAATTTTTATCCGATTTTGATGAAATTTGGTTTGAAGGTGTAAGGCGGGATAAACTTGAATGAGTTCGCGATCCAGCATGATCGGACCATGGGAACAGGGTTTTATGGGGGGTTTTATGGGGTAAAAATTGGTTTTTCTCACTTTTTACCCTCAAAACACAAAATTTCCCAATTTTTCTCTAAACCTTCTTAAAGAGCTTAAAAAAACAAACAATTCAGTATATCAAAGTTTTTTTGTACGGTTATTGGTTACGGAGAAAACTAAAAAAATGGTAAATTTAAAATTCCCATGTTATTCTTATGGAGAATATTGTAAAATGTTGTAGTTTGCTTGTTTATGGATATATTTTGATCAAACTTGGCAAATTTATTTATTTTATAGTAAGCTATCAATATTTTACTAAAAACACACTACTTTATTAGTTTCCTTGTAGCAGCAAACCTAGGTACTCGTTAAACCTAATGTTATTTAAATAGATCAATTGAAAATCAATTCGGCCAAATGGAAATTCGCTTAGACGGCAGGTTTGCTGCGGCGGGGGTATTTTAATATTTAAGACGAAGCAATAGCGGATGACTACAACAATTTAGAACGGTAGAAGGTAATATTATCATTTAGTTCATTTTCCTCACGAGGGACTACTTACTTATCTACTTACAGGGCATTAACTCTTCACATGCCTATCCTGCACTAACTTTATTTCTGATAAAAGAAAATTGTAAATTAATTTATAAAGCAATGTCAATTTTATCCTTTAGGAACTGACTATAAAATTTACCGACTTTGCAGTCGATTGTGTATAGCTCTCGCCTTCAAAACTGAAGGTTGCTAGTTCTATCCTGGTAGCGATCATTTAATTCTGAACGTTGTTTCCATTTTCCTCAACTTGATTACTATGCTTTTCTACCAAGTTGATTTGATAGCAATATGATCGGAGTTAGGCATTTTATATGAAATAGTAAAAAGCGCCAGCGTAGAAACACTAAAAATAGGTAAACGGATAGAAATAAAGGATATATTTGATGTTCAAAATGAAGAGGAATTTTGTGATTTTTAAACTGTAGCTGTGCATTTACTAAAAATGTAAAATAAAGTAAAGCTGTGTCATTGGCTAAATGCACATTATAACCTGAAAGGTAGAAGATGTTGACTTAATTATAAATACTTTAAAGAAAGAATTACGTATGCATGACTTAGGTCATATGATATGAAGAAAAATAGGTATCACAATAAATAAATAAATTATTATGAATCATGCGCGAAGTCATCGCTGTGGCAGACAGTTCGGGATGATTCAGACCGATTTGAGCTCCCCCCGCCACCCGGCTATCTGCGCTTGCAGCAGTGATCGCTAGAGACCAGCATATCTATACCGGCGACAGAGAGTAGTAATGAAGGATTCAGTCAGTTCAGTGGTAGCCATTGTTATTGTTTGTTATTTTTATTTACATCTGTTTGACATATGTTGTACTGTTTTGCAGTTCGCACAAAAGAATACTTATAACAAATCCCTCCGAATATGATAATCACAATCGCGTATTTGACTCCTTAGGTTTGGAAAAGATGGGATGACACACTGTTAAATCTTGACCAATGTTTTGATTTGGTAATTGAATTTGGCTTGATTAACAATAAATACATTTTTATGATTCAATCAAATCAAATCAAATATGCTTTATTCATAAAGTACCTACAGTTTTGTACATTGCATGGCGTTAACTAAATCCATCTCAAATTAATAATTTACGAATTTGCATATCTTAGACCATTATCAACATTAAAAACAAAGAACCAGTAAATGAAAATAATGAAACCTAAATCAATTATCAACTAACGCTAAGAGGGGAGGAGGAAAAATACTCTTCCAGGGAATAAAACGCTTTCTCCACTAAATATAGTTTTAATTTTCTCATGAAATTCTTCTTCTTGTTCATTTTTATTTCACTAGGAAGATGCTTAAAAAATTTTAATCCTATATAGGATGGTTTTTTTTTGTAGAATTTCAATTTATGTTTACTTTAAACAAGGAATTTTTTATGCCGAGTGTTGTATGGGTGATAATTTGTCTCAGAGGTGCTCAAGCGGGTTTTTGCTAGAATAATTGTGTCGTAAATATATTGGCCATATACTGTAAAAATCTTCAGTTGTCTGAATTTTTTTTGGTTTAATGGAACAATATGATGATACAGCGTAATCTTGGTAAAGTAAAGATCACATTTAGCGCAAATTACCGCAGAAAAACGTGAGATAAAGTATCATGGAGTGTCTACTTGAAATTACTTAACCTAACCTTAAATTAATCTCGCCCCCCCCCCCCCAAATATTCTACAGCTCTCACTGGTCCACAGTTATAGATTTGTTGACTAAACACTTTTAAAACCATGAAAGTTTGACTGCAAAGCTATGAATGAAGATTTTAGAATTCAAGAGGAAAAGCATTTACTTCTGCCGTTGTGTTTTATAGTTATGATAAAATTCTTTGTGGGTGAATTTTAATCTTAAAATGTATACAGTCTGTTTTTAAAAGTGTCATATGTATTGTGTGAGTTTTCAGTGCTTAAAAAGAACTTTTGTGAGGTTTCCACTGTTACTATTCTTTTTTTCTTCAGTAAAAATATGGTGACTTCGCTTTTTAATCTGCTAAAAACAGAAATTCTTTCTTATCTCACATCCTGTATCTTGCGTGAAATCTCAGTGCCAAGTGTTCTCCGTTTGTGAGAGATAGTGATAAATGTGTAAGCGAGTGTTCAGTGAATCAGTGTTATTTGAACTTTACGTTATTTAGGATTTTTGTACTTTCTGTGTAATTTTATGAGATATAGAATTTATTTAATTTATGTTCTAGTGTTTATGTACCGTTAAATAATATGTCTTACTGTATTTACTTACTTCTTATATTCCCATTTAAAGCTATTAGGTCGAACATCTTCAACAGCTGAATCGTCGGTCAACAATGAATGACTTTTTTGGGCTTTAGCTAACTATTGAAATGTTGTCTTACAGAATATAGATCCAGCTCAAAACTCCGCTTTTGTAGGACAGCGGATAATGGTGAGTTGGATTTGAAACAATCGGTGTTCCCCCACCATACCATGTGCTTCTCATTGTCTACTCTTCTTGGCTTCGACCTTCTACCCTTCCCCTGCTTTGAATGTGGAACAGTTTTGGTGTTGCATATCTGTTGTGAAAAATCATCTTTCTGCCATGTCGAATATGAAGCATTCTTTGTTACATGTGATTCTGTAGCTTTCAGTGGATCAGGACACGATTGTATTTTGTGCTGTTTCCAGGAAATTGTCGCACATTCCTTACCAAGTGTTAGTGGTTCTTTGCAAACTGTTTCATTTGTACAGTCACAAGGGTTTTGTATGTTTGCTCAAGCCTATATGTTGTTTTTGTATTGGTTTTATAAGTAAAATTTCCAACACGCTGTTTCTAAATTCAAAAACAGGTACTGATTACTGCAATGTCCAAAGTGTAATGAAATAAAAAAACTTCACTTAAAAGAGCACAATATTACCGGAAACTTCTGTAGCCTTGGAGGATAAGGTCCCGAGTTATTGAAGGCATGACATTCCCTCGTCTATGGAGGTGAAATCTGCATCTAAAAATAATATAAATATCATTTGAACAAATTTTATTCTGAGCATTGAAGAAATAGTTAATTATTCCAAATGGAGTTAGTCAGTGAAACAGAAAATCTCTCACAGTTCTTTAAGCAAGCATAGTCAAACTCCCATTGTATATACTGTTTTCATAATTTGTTCATTGAGTTTCGATCCTGACATGTTGCAAAAACTTATTTTTACAATCGAGATGGAAAATGTCTGCAATAAAATCTGTTGAATGATGCAATTTCAAAGAGTTACATTCCAATTGAAAAACACTCTTATAGGTTTGGCAGCTAATGGGAAGTGTGTTACAGTCACTTAGAACAATACGAAAAGTTCAGTGGCATCTTGTATTTTTAACATAAAGAAACAAGAAATATCAAATGATATTTGATCATTAGGGCTTCAAGTGACTCTTTTCGACACAAGCTCAAGTGTAACAACCGACCGTGGGATGAACTTGATTTTTGTAATGCTGCACAATTCTTAAAGTATACTAAATCACAGAAAAAAATGTTGTATATATTGTTTATCTGCAAAGTCAGATAAAACAGCTGTTACTGTTGAATTTAACTGTTTAGCCAGCTTTGCCATTTCAAGAAAGTTAGGTAGATGCATCTGAAATAAATATTTAACCAAAAAGAATTAGAAAATAGGTTTGTTACTGAGTAAGATGTTTGTGGGATTTTCCGTCACGGTTAGAAAAAAGCAAAAGTTCTCATGACGTTTTGGACATGGAATCTGACCACGTTTTCAGGTGAGAAAGTACAGTAGTAATACCCCCGCCGCAGCAAACCAGCAGACTAAGCGAATTCCCATTTACCGGGCTGGATTTCTACTAAAAGATTCCCTTAAAATCGTCAGATTTATTTCCTATTTAAATAATATTAATTTTAATGAGTGCTTAGGTTTGCTGCTTGAGGGAAGGTATTGAGGTGTTTTTTATTGGAATGTTAATAGCTTAGAATTAAAAAAAAAAATTGCCAAATTTGATTAAAATAAATCGATAAACAAGCAAATTACAAAAGTATTATTGCATATCTGTTGCTACTCCATAAGATAAATTTTTAATTACAATTTTTAAAATTATATCCGTAACCGTGTGGCATACAATAACACTTCAATATACAAAATTATTTATTTTTTTCTCTGCAAAATTGTTTGGAAAGAAACTGTGAAAATTTGTATTTCCAATGTCAAAAATGGGAAAAACCAATTATTACCCCAATAAAACCCCCCATAAACCCCCGTTCCCATAGTCTGATCATGCCGGTTCACAAACTCGTTTGAATAAACGTTACGTTTACACGTTTGTGCCAAATTTCATCAAAATCAGATCATTTTGTTTAAGTTATCGCGCTAACGAACATATATGAATTTGAATGGAGGGTGTTTTTGGCCTCTGTTGACCTCAAAACGAAAAATTAAATATGTCCCGGGTCTAGGTCTTACCATGAGACCTACGGTAATAGCTTATTCCCTATATGGGAAATTTACAAATATTCCCTATAAGGGAAATTCACTAAAAATATTACAAGAACACTACAAATCCAGCCAAACCTAGAAGTTCTGTTATATGAACGGTTTTTATTATATTTTACGAGCTTCGGCTGGGATTGTGTAATGTTTTCCTACCTAAGGCCAGATTCCAGACACTGAAACATCCTGAAGACTTTTATGCTTAATAATTACGAAGGAAAATGTTAGCGATAATCTCTTAGATAATGTTAACTAACCATCACCAAAAATGATCTTTAAATAAAGAAGGTCATCCAATATAATTTTACAATGGCATTTAAGCTCTTATCACGGCCAAACAAGCAATACTTGGCGGGAACGTAAATTTTCTTTCACAACACTTTCGGCTACTATTACAATACTAATCAGCATACAGGCGAAGGGACCAACTAGAATAGTAGTTGAAGTAAAGAACTCGAATTTGTCTCGGATTACAACTAGTCCGCTTGGTTGGGATAGGAGCTCGTTGGAGACCTTTACGCAGGGCCGCCCAAGGGGGGGGGGCAACCGGGGTAAGCTGCCCCGGGCGCCGTGGCTGAGGGGGCGCCACACAGCGGTTATTTGTATTAACATAGTAATAAAATATGCGAATGCAACTATTACTGATGGGAGGGAGAGGGCGCCACGACCACGTTTGCTCCGGGCGCCGCCAACCCTAGGGACGGCCCTGCCTTTACGGACAAACCTTGTATTAAAACACCAATGATCCAGTTGAACAAGTTTTGGTCCATCATTGTAAGGTGAGTATTATAACCTCCTAGCTACCAAGTTTATATTGATGCCTTTGGCTCAGATGTTTAAACAATATTAACAACATAAAATGAGGTTACTAATCTGTCGTCAATCAGTCCTATATTGTCGTGGATGACTATAGTTTCGGGGTTATAAACTTACATAAATTATAATCCCGAGTATGTATTTATGTATAATTTATGTATATTTATGTATTGAAAATGCTACTAGGGTAGATACTAATATACCACCGCCGCAGCAAACCTGCAGATTAAGAGAATTCCCATTTGCCTGATTGGATTTACACTAAAATGTCTCCTTAAAAATATCACATTTATTCCCTATTTAAATAAAATTAGTTTAACAAGTACTTAGGTTTCCTGCAACAGGGAGGGTAAATGTTTTTTTTTTTTTCAAAATGTTAATAAGAAATAAATGCTTTTTCCAAATTTGATCGAAGTATGTTCATAAACAAGCAAACTACAACATTTGTTTGAATTTACAATCTTTTGGAATTTTCTCTGTGACCATTAGGCGCATAGTAACCCTTCAATATACTAAATTATTTATTTTTTTAAGCTTTACAAAATAGTTTGTAAAGAAATTACTAAATTTTATTTTTTTGGGTCAAAATGGGAAAACCCATGTTTACCCCATAAAACCCCCCATAAACCCCTGTTCCCATATACCGATTATGCTGGTTAGCGAACTCGTTCGAATAAATGTAGGTTTACACGTTTATACCAAATTTAATCAAAATCGAAGCATTTTTATTCGAGTTATCATGCTAATGGACACACACATATATATATATATATATATACACAGTATATATGAATTTGAACGGATGGTGTTTTTGGCCTCTAGGGACCTCAAAACGAAAAAGTAAATCAGTACCGGGTCCAGGTCTTACCATGAGACCTACGGTAATAGCTTATTCCCTTTATGAGAAATTTGCTAATATTCCCTATATGGGAAATTCGCTAAAAAAAGTTGGTTTTATGTGATAAATACTTAACTGATATCTTATTATCAAGAAGACTTGCAGTATCTAAAATATGCTGTGGTCAGGGAAATCAACATAATACGGTCAGAGATTCACTTAAGATATTTTTGTGGGAACCCTGAAGGGTTAATATAGCATTGAAGATGGAGTAAGATTCCACAAGCCACTTGACTACATTAACATAATCAATATCACTGCAGATGTAGATTTTATGGGCTTTACTATAGACAGGAGATCCTTGCACGGTTCGATTCAGATAATGAGATTTGATAATCAACTATCTATTATGCTTTTATCTCCAATTGTCGAGAGTAATGGATTCTATCAACAGTTTGACTCTTAAAAACCAATTACAGTTAGTACATCATAAAATTCTATTGTTTGCTCTGGGATATTCTTAACCCATAAATAAGTTAATTTGATCTGATAGATGATATTTAAGTAATTAATTGGCTTTTAAAATTTCCAATCAACATCTGCTGTGGTTGAAATAACACTTTGAAGATAGCTGAATTTAATTTGGGACAGTTCAAAATTCACATTCTTTGAAATGGAAAGTTTAAAATATAATGGTTTGAATCATATAGATTAATGTGGTGTATATTTTATTTATGAAGTGTGCAACTTTATATATGAAAAACTAGGTTTTTATTTAAAGTACAGTATAAAATACTGATAATCAAGCAATAGAAAATTTGTTTAAATAATTTGTACATTAAACAGAGTATCAAACCAAATCACGTTATTGTTAAGAAAACATTTACAGAACATTGATTAAGTCTGTAACTCTTAACTGTTTCTATTTAATTTTATATAAAATATATAAATCACAAAGCTCAGAGCTTTATCCTAACATTCACAAACAAATAATCCACTAAACATCAAAACAGCACGAGGATCTGATTGTTTATGAAACATGTTCAACGTTGAAAAGAAAACAAACGTCACTGAAATCGGAGGCATTAGCTCATGTTTCAACAGACCTGTTTTTTACGCTTGGTTTCTATTTCAGTATCACAGTTACTACTCTGTTTACTCAAAATTTATGAGGTAAAGGTTTTGAACGACAGAAATACAATTTGAAGTAAAAAAACTGGTTGAAAAAAAGGCTTTATTACTTTTTATATGTGGTTTTCTGAGATAAAACAAAATTTTTTTACCACGGAGGTTGTCAAATTATTTTT